AGGTGTACAGATGGGGAAGGAAGACAAATAATTGTCTTTGTTCACAGATGACATGATCATCCAAGCAGAAAATCTAAAAGAACTGATAAAAGAAAAGCTGGAAATAATAAGCAATTATTGCAAGTTTGCAAGGTACAAGGTTAATATGCAAAAGTCAATTGCTTTCCTATACACCAGCAATGAATATGTGGAATTTGAAACAAAACCACAATACTATTACATTAGTACCTGAAAACTGAAATACTGAAGTATAAATCTAACAATATATAAAATAAAACCTATATGAGGAAAACTATAACACTCTGATGATTAAAATCAAAGAACTAAATAAATGGAGGTGTTCTATGTTTGTGGATAGGAAGACTCAATGTTAACAGGATGTGGGTTCTTCCCAAATTGATGCATACATGCAATGCAATCCTAATTAAAATCCCAGCAAGTTATTTTATGAATATCAACAAACTGGTTTTAAAGTTTAGATGGAGCAGAAAAAGACCCAAAATAGCCAACACAATACTGAAGGAAAAAACAAAGTTGGAGAGCTGACATTCCCTGACTTCAAGACTTACAATGAAGCTACAGCCATCAAGACAGTGTCGTATTGGTGAAATAACAGACATGGGTGTCAGTGGAACAGAACAGTGAGCCCAGAAATAGACCTTGTAAATATAGTCAACTGATCTCTGACAAAGAACAAAAGCAATACAACAGAACAAAGGTCTCCTTTTCAACAAATGACGCTGGAACAACTGGACATCTGCATGCAAAAATGGGCCTAGACACAGGCCTTACACCCTTCACAAAAATTAACTTAAAGTCATAGACCTACATGTAAAACACAAAACAATAGAACTCTTGGGGTATAACATAGGAGGAAATCTCGATGACCTTGGGTATGACACAACATTTTAGATACAACACCACAGCCACGATACATGAAAGAAATCATTGATAAGCTGCATTTCATTAAAATTCAAAACTTTTGCTCTGCAAAAGATGATGTCAAGGTTATGAGAAGGCAAGCCACAGACTGAGAGAAAATAATTGCAAAAAACACATCTGATAAAGGACTTATCCAAAATATATAGGAAACCCTAAAAACTCAACAAAAAGAAAACAATCTAATTTAAAAAAAATGGCCCAAAGACCTTAACAGACACCACACCAAGGAAGAGATACAGCTGGCAAATAAGCATATAAAAAGATGTTCCACATCATATGTCATTCCGGAAACATAATTTAAAGCAACAGTGAGATATTACTACACAGTCATTAGAAAGGCCAAAATCCAGAACACTGACAACATCAAACGCGAGAGAAGGTGTGGAGCATCAGCAACTGCCATGCATTGCTGGTGGAAAGGAAAATGGCACAGCCACTTTGAAAGATAGTTTGGTGGCTGCTTACAAAACCCTTACCATATGATCCAGCAATCATGTTCTTTGGTAATTACCCAAAGGAGTTGAAATGTATGCCCACACAAAAACCTGCACATGGATGTTTATAGTAGCTTTATTCAAAATTGCCAAAACCTGGAAGCAACCAAGACATCCTTCAGTAGGTTAATGGGTGAGTAAACTGTGGTTCATCCAGACACAGACTGCCATTCAGTGCTAAAAAGAAATGAGCTATCAAGCCATGGAAAGACCTGGATGAAACTTACATGCACATTATTAAGAGAAAGAAGCCAATCTGAGGAGCGTACATACTATATGATTCCAACTACATGGCATTCTGGAAAAGGCAAAACTATGGAGACCATAAAAAGTTCAGCGGCTGCCAGGGGAGAAGGGCAGAGCACAGAGAATTTTTAAGACAATGAAATATCTACATGATATTATAATCGTGGATATATCATTATATATTTGTTTAAGCTCATAGAATGTACAGCACCAAGAATGAATCATAAGTAGACTATGGACTTTGGGTGATTACAACATGTCAGAGTAGGTCATCCTTTGTAAAAAATGCACCATTTTGGTGAGGATGTTGATAATGGTGGAAGCTATGTATGTGTGGAAACAGGAGGTATATGTGAAATATCTTTAACTTCTTTTCAGTTCTGTTGTAAACCTAAAACTGCTCTAAAAATAACACTTTTAAACTTCTTACCTTGCATTAGTAAGATAAGGAATATACAGAAAACAATATTTACAGATAAATTAACACTATTCTCTGGTTTCAATCTAATATGCAGTTAATTATGTCTAATTTGACAAAGGGCATATGGTTAGTACACATGTGAAAATAAATAAAATAAACATAAAATATAGATACCATAAGACTATTTTCAAATGTGCAATTAATAATCACTTTTGATTTACCTCCAGGAACATACAATATTGTAAATCAAAATCAAAGGAATATACTTAAATTCATAAGTCGGTAAACTTTATATTAATAAGGACACACTGATATTATTTATAATGAATGAGAAAGTAATTGCAGAGGCCAGATCTGTTTTTCAGATTCTTCCTAAACCTTTCATACTGAGAAAGTTTGCGATACTCTTCTCCCACAATAGAAAATGCAAATAAGTGAAAAATGCTTGAACTTACTCGTAACAATTTAGAAACCAAATATTAATGAGAAAAATAATGTCCCTTCAGAGACTAAAAAATATGAACATAATACTGGAGCAGATGTAGGAGGGAGCCCTCTCAAAATGGACATTCACAGTCTAAAATGGTGCAACCTTTCCGGAAACAAATTTGGCAATATGCATCGGAACTTTCAACGTGTCATTACCATTGCCCTACTATTCCAATTCCTATGACTGTGTTCTTAGATTCAAAGCACGGAGCCCGTGATTTCTGTAAAAGGATATGGAGTTTGGTCTTCCTGAGCAATAGGGAAATGACTGAATAGAGTGTTCCCATATAGTGGAATCTTAGGTACCAACTGAAAATGTGTTTTTGTGGAATATTTCATGACAGAGAAATTTTATCATGATGCCATGTTAAATGGGAAAAAAAATCACATACAAAATTACACATACAAGGTGATTATATATGGCAAACATTCAGGCATACTTAAGATACTGGAAAGAATTAAACCAAAATCTTATTAACCATGAGGGTAAAATTTCTACCATTTTAAATAAATTATTTCTAAAATTAAAAAATGAAGCATGAGTTGGGAAAAAACCCACAACCATCAGCAAAGTGCAGCTGCAGAGTACTGGAGTGGCCTCGTGCAGGCTTTAATGACATCCCTCTGCGTGGATCTGCCCACTTAAGAAGAGTCATTTTCACTATCCTAACAGAGGGCATTCCTTTGCTGCCTTAAATGAGAAGGGGCCTTATTCAATCAAGCGTTTAATTATACATACACACTTAAATCTAACTGAATATAGTAGCTTCCATTTATAAAATCACCCAAAAGTAATAACAGGAATTTTTTTATTGCAAGAGGCAATATTATTTTTCCAGGAATTATCTCCTTGTGTATCTGGGAGGTGACTCATTTCCTTCGAAAGCTGTTGTGAGTTATTAATATAAAGGTGACAGCTTGGCAGCAGGAAACACAGAGGGCAACGCTCATAGGAAGATAATATGATCTGCACTACATATTTTAATGCCATCTTTATCAGCTTTAATGGAAGGTTCTAAACTACTGGCTGGTGGGCTGCATTCTGACTAACAAAGTTGTTTTGAATTTCTCCTTTGCAAAATTGAAAAGGGATTTTTAACTACCTATTGCATTCAGAGCAGTCAAGACCTCAGTTTTAGCACTTTCCAGTTTCTTCCCTGAAAGAGCAGAAGAATCAGCTGTCCCTCTTGCATGCTGCAACGCTGGCCTCACACAGCCATTCGCCGAGCCCAGGGCGGCTGAGACCTGCAGCTTAGGCTGTGCCCTGCGGCTCCCTGCCACAGCAGGAGCTAAATGTGCAGCAAAAGTAAAACATCTCATTTTTTCTTCCTCCTTGGAAACAAGTTTGTTCAACAAACGTTGTTAAGGTTTTTAGGCTTCTATTAGTCAGCATTTTCATTTAAATTTATTAAGGAATGGAAGTACTATGTTGGAAGTATTAACATTCACCGATCATGAAATCGTACAGTTTAAAGCAACTTTAAAAAGCCGTGCAAGCACAGTTCCGAAGGCCAAAGAGACAACGCTTGAATGATTAGGGTAAATAGCTGTCTTGGCTTAAAAGGTTGGAACAGAAAAAAAAAAATTTTCTGACTTTATTCGTGAATTCATTTTGGCATTTCAGTAAAAGTTCTTCCTGGTATCAGGGCTGAGGCCTGCCTATTGCAATTTCACATCTAGCCAACCTCCGAGCATCTGTGACAAAGCTCGTTCCTTTTACTCTGTTCATGTGAATGGCGCCCAGCAAGGAATTCTCCTCGCAGCCGTCCACTCTGCAGCGTCAACAGGCTCAGGGTTTTCTGTGTCGTCCTTGGTTCCCAGGCCACAGTTCAAATCTAGTCATTAGCCTTTTTCCCCCAACAGGTCATCTGTGCAGTTTCCTTCTGTCACCGCTTTCACTGGAGTTGGAAATAACCATGTCCCAAACTAGCTGCATGTTTTTATTTGGGGACGTGAGTCAAGCGCCGACATAAACAGCGGCAGGCGTGTGGAAGAACTGACGTGCACGGAGAAGACGTTTTAAAAGTAAGACGTTATGGGCCACCGAGGCCGAGAATGAGTGGCGCTCATAAATTGCGGCTGCATTCCTGATGTTGCTTAGCACCGTGTTTTCATCTGCTTTAGAACTCACTGGTATCAGTACATTTGTTTATATTTTAGTAACACCAAAGATTGCACGAATTTTAGATACAAATCGTTTCTCTTATAAGCTAGGATCCTACCTGACTACTGACTAAACTCAGGATTTGGCGATTTAAATAGTTTCATCACATTAAAATATTCCCCAGTCGGGTGGACAGCATCAGAGTAAGGAAGAAAAGAGAAGCCGCTGAGGAAGGTAGGTCCTCGCGGGAGGGCACGGTCGGGAATGCAAGACGTGGAGCGCGACGGTGTTTTCAGACCCTTACCTGACGTCCGTACATGTCATGCAGGTGATGTCGCGGCTGTTTGTTGTGATCAGGTTCAAAGCTACTGATGTTTCCTTGTCAGAGGTCGGGTGTGCTCCACATTTAAAGAAAAATTCCTGAAAGAATGAGAAATATAATTACATACATGGAAGCCAGCTGGCCGTCTCCCCGCCTCTACTCATTTCCACAGTAAAGAGTCTCTTCAGGAGGAGGAGAGATCTAGCGTGAGGAGTGAGTTAGAAATAAATCAACGTCACATCTTTTGAGGGGAATTAATATCCTTGTGCCAAAGTATTCACAAGTCCCTTTCTCAGAAGGGTCCAAGCATCTGCTAGTCTTTCCTTCTTTCTCTCTTTCAGCCAGGAGCTGGGCAAACCCTGCGCCCCTTGCTCACCTCTCACTGTAAGGGAATAACAGTGTGGGTGCCGGAGGAAGCCTGAAATCGCATCTCGAAAACGACGAAGAGGTCTTGAGACCCTGAGCAGTGAAATGACTTGCCCAAAGTCAGACAATCAGAGGGGAAGCCAGGAAGCAACTCAGGCGTCTTAAAGAGGAACTCAGTACTTTTTCTACGGGGTCACCACACAGCTGGGCAGTTAGCAGCAAGACTACAGTGCAGAGCAAGAAATGCAGGGATCCCAACGGTCACAAGCACGTGAGTGACGCAGACGTGCAGAGGAGCAGAGAGTGGCTCTCCCCTGAGCTCAGAGCCAGCCCTCGTTTCACCCTCTCAGCATCCCAGGGCTCCCGGGAGACCCGTGCCCACTCCCCATGCCAGGCAGCTCAGGATCTCTTGGATGCACCTCCTCCCTTCTGAGCTCACGTCCCAGCCCTCTCCTGCCCCGCGCTCCTTGACCTCAGCTCTTCACAGAAGTCACATCCCTTTGAGTGATGATATTCTTCCTTCTCAAACAGAATCTTTTTTACTTTTCTTGTTTTTTCCCTCTGTTTTTCCTGGATTTGTTCACACACCCCTTCCTCCTCTCATGCACCAAAGTGTTTGGCCGGTGAGTGCTCTGCTTCCTGTTGCACAATCGGTGCACCTTCCATGACAATAATACCCATGAAGTTCAATTTTCTGCCACTGCAAAAATTCCATACAAATGTAACCCTGGCTTATACACTTCATCCTCAACTCCCTTTGTGTATGACCCCTTGGATATGGAAAGTACTTTCCCTTTGAACACTAGACCTGGTGTCCACAAACATTTATGAAAGCACCCTGTACTGTGTTTTCAGCTTCACAGGTCATATGTCTTGCTGCACTGCTCAGCTCTGCATTACTGTCTATAAGCAGCCTGGACAATATGCATGTGAATGGATGTGGCTGTATCCTAATAAAACTTTATTTATAAAAACATGTGGCAAACTGGATTTTGCCCACAGGAAGCTTGTCCACCCCTGCAGTAGACAATGAGCTATTTGTGGAATGTCTGATTCACATTTGTATCCTAACAGTATCTGGCATAGGACAAGCATTAGATATATTTTCTCAAATTAAAAAAAACAATCAACAGATGTATTTAATAAATGCTACCAGTGTTTCTTTATACATTTGACATCACCACCCTTAATCTGTCTTTTCCCTGCTTGTTACCAAGCTAACCTCCCCCTCCTCTGACCTGAGACACAGCGATACAGTCAGCCGCACCTGTGGGTCTCAGAGTCCAGTGTGCATCAGAATCACCTGGTGGGGGGAGCTCGTTAAAGCGGACATCACTGAGACCATCCCAGATCTTCTAATTCAGTAGTTCCAACATGCGACCAAGGATTTGCATTTCTAAGGTGATGCTATTCCTACTGCTCTGGGACCACACTCCTGAGAACCGCGGAGTTACACCAACATTAGTGGTAAAGGGAGAAAACCATATTCATTCTCTCAGGAGACAACAGCTGTAGCAGACCTTGCTTATACCACAGCTGGAAATTATGCCACAGCTCAGGTAAAGTGTGCTCCTCTTCAAAAATCTGGAGTTGGTCTTGAACAGAGAAATGTCCCAAAGCCAGGTGTTTGGAACCCAGGCTGTTCTTAGCTACACGTGTCTTACCAACTCCAGATGGTGTAGCAGTTAGTTAGCCAGAACCCATTCCAGCTGAGGCAAGTGCGACAGCATTCAGCCCCCCTCCGCCTGCAGGCCTCAGCCCTGCAGGGGAGGGTGAGCCCACGGTCCTGTGATAAAGGATGCTGCACCGCGCATCTGACGGGGCCCCTTCAGGTACGTCTCCGGAGTTCTGCATGGCTCCCCCGAGGCAGCGTGGAAATCGTAATGATTGGTTTTGTTTTCTGTTTTAACATGGTATGTTACTCTTTTCACTTGAGTTTTTGAAATGATAGAAATCCTTCAAAGGTCAGTTCAAGGATATTATGAAAAAGAGTTAAGGCAATTCTTGACTACCCAAACAAGAATTCTGAAGGACATGACCGACCCTTTCAAAATGCATTGAGCTGGCTGTGACTGCTTTTTGCAGACATGAAAAAAAAAAATCCTCTCTCATAACGAAAAGTAATTCCTCCAAAAGAGCTGAGTTGGCTGGACTATTGAGAAGGTATTTCATATACAGATAAATAGATAGATAGTATTTATATTTTTTCTTAGCTTGCAGGAAGCTACTGGTAGACATTCAGCTAACAAATCACAAACTGCTCTAACACTAGATAAAACTCAGCTAGATAAAAGCCAAAATCCCTTTTATTGGAGGTGGATTTTTTTTTTTTTTACAAACAATGGTCTCGTGAGTTACAAATATTTGGATAATTCCAGTAATTCATATGGTGTGACAGAATTAAAATACAAATTAGCAACTCTACATATGAAATATGCAAGTGTCACCAGTGAATTTCAGCGTCTTCTCTGCCGGTTTTTATGAAAGGAGGTTGTTCTATAGCCAGAGTAGCAAAGATGGTGGAGGGTCCAAGACGTCACCCCGTTTGCAAGCTAACAGGTTGGCCTGCCACCATCTCATGGATGCTGGCAGGAGACACAGGCTTCTGGGTCAGAAGCAAAAACTGCCTGGCTCAGAGCCCAGGCAGAATGAACTACGGGCATCGTGATTACGCCTGTTCCACTGCACCTCAGCTCCCAGGGGATGCAGTGGCCCGGCCAAGTTACATGCTTCACGTACAGGGCTTCTGCATCACAGCTGAGGACCCCGAGCTTAGGGAACCCACGTCTTTTATAAGGACCTTCCCTTTGTCCTGAAGGGAGATACTGTCTTTATGAGACTGGATAATAAGCTGGTCCACTTTTACCCTAGAGAGAGCCACTATCATTATTTTCCAGGTTGTTCACAAAACAATTTCCTTGAAAAGATTGTCCAGGAAAAAAGGGTGGTTAGTGCCTCTCTCACAAGATGTGCAGAAACCGGAGAGAACCTGGAAAAGTATCTCCCATTAGCAACAGCACCATTTCCTGCAGGCTGATCAGCAGGGCCGCCTGGTCGTCTCCTGTCCTATACAATCAACACGTTAGCATTTTTCAAGTCTTTCTGAGATTTGTAGGTTGCATTCACAACATACAAACAATAAAGCAAAACTGAACAGAATTAAGAACTTTTTAAAAAAAGTCTATCGTGGGTGTTTCAGCCTGCTTATATAGAGTTGTCATCTCACAGCTGCATGATTCTTTTGGAGTAATTGTCTACGAATTCCGCTTTTCCGTGTTTTTTTTTTTTTTCCTCTTTGCTGTTCAGATTAAAAAATCAAGGCTGCCAAAGCCAGAAAAATCTTCCAGCTAGAACTCAGGAGCGTGGGCAGGAAGCCGACACCACCGTGAGAGCTGGTCGTCATGGCGTGACACTACCTGATTCCCACAAGGGGCCCAGGAGACACCTCAGTCTGGGCCAGGTGACAGCGGTTATGCCCCAGGGCCTGGCTGCTCGAGGTGGCATTGCGCTGTTCCAGTGGGTGCCAGGCTTGACCAGCAAAGTTGCTTCTGTGTCACCAGAGACACAGTCCCCTGTGGCTGCAGCAGGGACATGTTCTGGTTGATTGGGGGACACCTGTCAACTCCAGTGAAGGTAACACAGGATCCTTAACTGTGGAGAAATAAAGATTTCAAAGGGACCCACCTATCTTTCACAAATGCCAGCTTACAGGTAAATCAGCTACCAAAAAAAAAAAAAGACCCCAAACAAATCAAGTCCCATTAAATTAAACAAATTCTTCCACCTGACCAGGAGCTATCCATCCCACTCGCAGGCTCATTTCATTTGTACCCATGCACTCAATTCTGGGAAGACTTAATTAACTATGGAACTAAAATCTATGACAATAGTTGGCCAATTTTTTTTCCCAAATGATAGTGTAAACTATTTCTTAAAAATGAAAAAAATAATTCCAGAGTAAGACCTAAAAAAATGTTCTTGCCTTTACAGTGTGACCTTGTTAAATGCTTTTAAATCCTTGTTAAATAAGGTGAAAAGCACCTTATTAGTACTAAACAGAAGATCCAAACTCCAACAGAGTTACATTCTTTAAGTTCTTAGAAACATACATTTTTGCCATTTCTGTGGACAAGGCTATGATTCTGTCCTTCCATTCTTTTATCATAATCCACCCGTCCTTTCCTTTCAGACCACAGAGGCCTGGCCCTCTAGCTAAATCAGACCTGTAAAAACAACGGTATAGCAAGGGAGGGGCCTGTGAACATTTCGGTTCAACTGTTGGAAGCCACCTCCTTTTTCTCACGCCACTCTGCCACCAGACTCAAGGCGCTACCAGTGTCTCTCACAGACAAGGTGGAAAATAAACCGGCAAAATCTGAATTAGATTAATATCAAAAACTTGATTTAAAAAAGCTTATCAAATCAGTAGCTAATTAGTCAACTTCAAAAACAAACTGATAAGTTTCAAATTTCTGCAGCGTACAACTCTCGCCCGGAACGCCCTGCTTGTCTCAGACACAGTCTAGTTCCACAAACCTGCAAAACAGCAGTGAGGCCTGACTGTTCCCGCCCTCACGAACCTGCTATCAGCTTTCCTCAAACTTCCCAAAGTTAACACTTTTTTATAGCCGTTGCTTAACAATGCAGTGTTTTCCAAATAAAAAATTGTGCCTATCTTTGCAAAAGGAGTGAAAGCCTGTGTTGGTCTCCAACTCCTGAAAGTTTGATAAAG